CCAGCTCATCTGCAGCCACACCATCAGGATCAGCTCTACTGTGCTGTCCAGGGAAAGTGCAAAACCCGCTCTCCTGAGTGCTGCAGCAGAGTGACAAGGCAATGTCTCCCACTCACATGACCACAGGGCTAGCTCTCCTACCTGGCATAGGTGGCCAGGAAGGAGAGAAAGGGGAAGGGCTTCTTTGTCACATTTGCTCCACTGCACAGCAAAGAAGAGTCCAGATCAGCTCTCATGCAATCCCCACACCCAGGGACAGCTCTCCTGTGCTTTCCAGGCAAGGTGCAGGGCCTGCTCTCTATGAGTGCAGCACCAGGTAAGGGGCGGCACCACCTCACCTGCTCTCAGACCACAGGGCCAGCTCTCTCACCTGCTGGAGAGTGCAAAGGGCAAGAGGGTAGGGAGGGAATCTCCACACATGTCACCTCAGAGAGGATAAGAGGCAGGGTCTGTTCTCCCATGCTGCTCATTCCCTCTGGGACCTGCTCACCAGTGCCACTCCCACCAGGGTCAGCTCTACTGACCCTGTGGTTTCAGTCAAGCAGAATCAGTTGTACAAATTAGACAAAGATCCAAAGACGTTTGTGACTTCTTAGTTCTGAGTATTCACAACTATGAAGGAAAAACACTTGGCTAGACAACATGAGTATCCTTGTAATAAGACAGCCCTTCTGTCTGATGGACCACCACCAGGCTAGACAACATGAGCATCCTTGCGATAAGACAGCCCTTCTGTCTGATGGACCACCACCATGAACTTAACAGCTCAGCTCATTCAGAAAAGCAACTGTTGAATATTGCAAAGGTCAGACCCACACACCCAGCACTCCTGACATGACACATCATTTTCCTAAAAAAAAATCACTCTCCCCAAAGAACACTGATGACATCACACCTGGATATCTGGATTAATGTTTCTTGTCGCAACCAATTCAATTTATATGTGTCCTGATGCTTTCCTCAACTTCTCCCTCCCTCAGGCACTTAGCCAGTAGTTTGCCTGTGTGATAAATCATGTGACTGGAAAAAATGTGACTGACATTAAAGATATACAGAAAGTGAAATTTTGCGTTCACAATGTAGTGGGACCCCATGCAACTAAGCAAGTATAACTATTCTTTGCTCTCGATACTTCATTCCAAGACACAAATCAATTTATCTGTATTTCTGCGTGGGAAACTGTACTATCTCTAATAATAATGTGAGAAATATCTTTTCATTGTCATTATATTTGGTATCACATACATAACAAATTTTAATATCTAGAACACTGCCTACCCTTGTCACCTGAAGTTATGGTTTAAACTAATTCATTCAGTTAGTCACTGCTTAACATTAATTGCCACATTATGAATAGAATTCTGACTATTTGTATTGTTCGTTGTGTCCTGACCATTGCATTGTATCAGCCACAATAAACACATTTTTGTCCCACTATACCCTCATTTCTTCAGGAGCTGCATCCTTTTGTTCATTCAGCATGAGGAAGTATCTTTCAATCATGATAGTATCCCATCTGGAGTTTAGGTGGCAGTGTTATATAGCTCTTTCTATCCCCTTTCCTTGTATTTAGCCACTCTCTACCTAAAGGCGGGAACTTTTTAATGCACCAGCTTCTTCCTGCTGTATAATTCCCTATGAACATATAACTCAGGTGGAAAAATCTTCAGTTCTCTCTGTTTATCTGAATAGACCTCTTGATAGCATATTCAACTATCAATCAACACAGAGGAGATTATGCCTCCTTGTTTTAATGCTCCTTTTTATATAGATAAATCAATCAGTGCAGCTGTGATCAGTAAATAAAAACAGAAGTTAATCCCATATTATTGACTGACCTAGTAATAATTATTTAAGTAAAGTATATTTTTCATATACCCAGAAACTTAGCAATTCATGAAAAAAATATTTGACTTTTCAGTTCAACTGTAAATTAATTTTCTTCTACAATGGATATAATTAGGAGGAAAACAAGACTGAGATTATTTTAAAAAGAAACAGTAACTAAAGTTACAAAGTGAATGAATGTTATGCTTACCCTCCACAACCTGATGGTAAGGCCCCATTGCTAAATATACCACTTTATGTCACTGAACATTAAGAAAAACTTAGCTCATGCCCAATTTGAAACACAACCCCTGCTGACTAGAGTTTCATGGTACTGGAGGACAGTTTGTGCACTAGCAGAGGAGAAAAGTAATTGTCAATATCAACCACATACAAACACAGCCATAGTTCTCAGTTCTGTTATTTTTGTTCAGCACAGACTAGCTTTGTTGAGAGAAATTAATAACTAGAAAGAAAATACTTCTAAGTTGAACTCAAATAAGTTAAATTGTTAGTACATACAGTTGAATAATGTGATGTTTTGAAAACTGAAGATCATTAAATTGAAATAGTTAATAAGTGCAGTAAAAGCTGAAGAATACAAACCTCTATAGCATTTCTATAACAAAGAGTAAACTGACTGAGAAAAACAAAACCAACAAAAACAAGGAAATAAAACCAGGCATGGTTGTTGCATCCATGCATGTTCAGCCATTAGAATATAAAGAATCCTAGATCTTGAATTGAGAACATCTTTGGCTACTCAGTGATTTCTAGAGTGTTCTAAGCGACATAAAAGCTGATAATAAAAACTTAAATAAGAGGAATTTCACATAAAAGACACTTAAATACAATAGAAAAATCTTAGAAATAAATTAACCAAGAGTATTAAAGATCTTATAAAAACAAGACATAAATAACTGGAAGGATATCCTATGTTCATGAATTGAAAAACTAATCTGTTTATAATACTCATACTACTGAAAGAAACTTAGAGATTCAGTGTGATTCTCATTAGAATTGACTTGATACTAATAGTTTAAAAGAGCTTAAAATAATTATAAAATTTGTATGGAGCAACAAACAATACAAATACTAAAGCAATGGAAAAAAAAAACACACAAGAGGAAACCAAATTGACTCAGAATAGAAACAAATCACTTCATATATCGACTATTAATAAAAATATATAAAGAACACAAAGCATTTAATGGAAATCAAACAAATAATATCATTAAAAATGAGTAAGTTTTTTCAAGCATGTTCACCAAAGAGACAAAAACAGGGTTTCCAGACATTTAAAAAGTTATATATATATATATATATATATATATATATATATATATATATATGATAAAATATATTTTAGACATATATAATATATTATATATAATATTTTATATATATAAAATAAAAACAAAAAGTAATTCACAAATATATATTACCTCAAATCTATTTGATTTGGAACTACAAAAAAGTATATTGGTAGTGATTTGTAGAAATGGTAACTTTTAAACATGGCTGTTATATAAGTAAGTGGGGTCAATTTTAGAGAACAGTGTAGAGTTTTACAATGCAGAAACTATTTCTGGGCGTAAACTTAAATTAAAATCACTGAGTGCATTTCTGCACATCCATGTTCACTGTAACTTTACTTACAATCACCACAATATGCAAACCACATTTTTATGTTTAACATATGTTAGTTGTGTATAATGGAAAAACTTTATATTATTAAATGGAATAAAATCATATCTGAAACAAATTATAATTTTAGAGTATATTGTGTTAAGTAAACTAACCTAGGCCTAGAAAGAAAGACACAGAGTGATCTTAATGCTATATGGATCTTAAAAATATTAAATTCAATGAACTAGAGACTTTGAAGTATCAAAAATCATGAAAGGGATGAGGGAGAAAAGAGGTGCTATTAGACAAGCTGAGTGACTTTTGGTAATCTAGTATACAGCAAGGTGACTGAAGTTAATAATTTGTATGTCAAAACTGCCAGAAGAAATACTTGCAAATGGTCTAACCACAACGACATGGTAGATGTTTAAATGCTAAGTCAATTTCACAGAATAAAAGTATGCTATTAGGACGAGATTCTCCCCTAGCCCCTATTATGTAGCTCCCATAGGTTCTCAATTCATGGAGCGGGCGTTAGATCCGGGCAAAAAGTCTGATTACCGCAATAACATTGATGCCACTATTGCAGCAGCAGACATAATTGTCAAGTCAATAATTTTTGCAATTTGCCTGTTTTAAAACTGGTTGAGAATGATGATTCCTATTCATCTCCTATAGCATGCAGAGCATCTTCCAGCGTTGTGAGATGTACCAAGAGAAGCTAGTGGGTACTAGTGTATTATTTTCAAGCTTTCGTGCTCAAGTATGTGGTATCCACAACCAAAGCATCTTAATTTTCAAATTCTGTAGGGTAGCCAAGAGTGTTGGTAACAGCTTATAGTGCTTGAGAGTCTATGTGTTCCATCATGCTGTCATCACACAGCAGCAGCCAGGGAAGCTGAGGGCTGACTGGGAGCTCTGCAGGGCCCACAGCCTTGTGAGAGAGTGGACTGAGTGGCCTTCAGCACACTTCCTCAAGCCCCATTCTTGACCACCACTATGCAGGTTCCAACAAGGGAAAGGAACATCTTCAGGGGAGAGATACTGGGCCCTGGAGGAGCCTCTGGGTCTCCAGAGCAGCGGGGTCAGCCCCGGAGGGATAGTTCCCCCAAGACTGACTTCATCAGAGCCACAGTAAACAGGTGAAGCCCTTGGGGTTTCAGCCAGGGTAGGCTGCTCCCTCTGCCCAACAATCCAAAAAGAAACAACCTTTCCCTGGGTCTAGGATTTCATTTAAGAGCATGAAATATCTAGTTGGAGCATTATGTTCTCACTGCTGCATAACTCCATTAGAACTCTCTTTATATGTGTAGGTAAACATGTAAATATTCTAGAAAGCTTCTGTAATAGTTAAACATTTCCATATAGATCCTTTCTGACCCCAATTTAACCCTTCCTGTCCCATTATTCTCCTTTAACTCTTTATACCATGTGCTTTATTATCCCTCCATTGATTGTCCCTTCCCTGATGGTCCCTTAATAAATTCCTTACTTCTGGGGTACACAAAATTGAGCACAAATATCTGAATATTAAAGCTAACTTCAAAAAACATTCAACCTTTGAAAATTTGCGTTTCATTCTTGTGTAGGAGCCATGTGAATCTTTTCTAAACTGTTCCATTTTAGTAATGATATGTTGTACCAAGAAATAATTCTATAGTCCTTTAAAATATTTTGTTGGACATCTATTATATTCCAGACCCTGAATAGAAAAGTTCAAACTTGCCCCAGATTGATTTCCAAAGTGGTTGTACAAGTTTACATTCCCACCAGCAATAGAGGAGGGTTCCCCTTTCTCCACAACCTATCCAACATGTGTTGTCACTTGAGTTGTTAACCTTTGCTATTCTGATGGGTGTAAGGTCAAATCTCAGGGTCGTTTTGATTTGCATCTCTCTGATGGCTAAGGATGTTTAGCATCTCCGTTGTTGTTTCTGTGTCATTCTATATTCCTCTACAGAGAATTCTCTGTTTAGCTCTGCACCCCATTTTTTAATTGGATTGCTTGATTTATTGTTTTTTTTTTATTTCTTTAGTTCTTTATATATTCTGGATATCAGCCCTCTGTCAGATATAGGGTTGTTGAAGATCCTTTCCCAGTCTGTAGGCTGTCGTTGTGTTCTGATGACAATGTCTTTTGCTGAAGCTTTTCAGTTTCATGAGGTCCCATTTAACGATTGTTCTTCTTAGAGCCTAGAATGTAAACTTGTACAACCACTTTGGAAATCAATCTGGCGCTTTCTCAGACAATTAAGAATAGTGCTTTCTCAAGACCCAGCTATACCACTCCTAGGCATATATCCAAAAGAAGCTCAAATACACAACAACCATGTTTGCTCAACCATGTTTGTAGCAGGTTTATTCATAATAGCCAGAACCTGGAAACAACCCAGATTTCCATCAAGGAGGAATGGATACTGAAATTGTGGTACTTTTACACAATGGAATACTACTCAGCAATTAAAAACAAGGTACTCATGAAATTTGCAGGCAAATGGTAGGATCTATAAAACATCATCCTGAGTGAGGTATCCCAGAAGCAGAAAGACACACATGGTATATACTCACTTATATAGACCTATAAGATAGGATAAACGTACTAAAATATGTGCACCTAAAGAAGATAAACAAGAAAGGGGACCTGGAATAATATGATAAATCCTCATTTAGAAAGACAAATAGGATGGACATTAGAAGTAGGAGAAAACAAGTAACAGGACAGAAGCCTACCACAGAGGGCCTCTGAAAGACTCTACCTGGCAGTGCATCAAGCAGATGCTGAGACTCATAACCAAACCTTCAGCAGAGTGCAGGGAATCATACAATAAAAGGGGGAATTAGTATGACCTGGAGAGGACAGGAGCTCCACAAGGACAAAATATATCAGGGCACTGGGATCCTCTATGATACTGTTTCTCCAACCAAGGACCATGTATGGGTATAACCTAGAACTCCTGCTCGAATGTAGACCATGGTAGCTCAGTATCCAAGAGGGTTTTTCTAGTAAAGGGAACAGGAACTATTTCTGACATGAATTCAATGACTAGCTCCTTTACCCCACCCCCACCCCTGCTCCCAAGGGAGGAACAGCCATGCTAGGCCACAGAGGAGGACATGGCAGCCAGTCCTGAAGATACCTGATAAGTGAGGGTCAGATGGAAGGGGAGGAGGACTTCCCCTAGCAGTGAACTTGGAAAGGAGCAGGGAGGAGATGAGGGAGGGAGGGTGGGATTGGGAGGGAATCAAGGAGGTGGCTATGGCTGGGATACAAAGTAAATAACCTGTGATTAATATAAAAAAATTAATATAAAAATAATAAAAAGAAAAGTTCAAATTTTATAATTCATATTTTCACAGAATTTAAAGTATATTAAGGGGTCAAAATTAAGACCTACTGACTCATACATCTATGTAAATAAAAAAGTTTAATAAACCTTGATTTAAAATTAGCTGACTAGAAAACCCACTAGGATGGGAGAAAATTGTCTAAACCAATATGGTAAAAGAACTGCCACAACTATCAACATGCATGCATGTATATCATAATTATATAATACATTTGTCATATAATGTATATATATGTATATATAATAAAATGTATATATATATAAAACTTTAACAATACATGTACATGATATATGCTTAATATACGTGGTACCAATAACTAAATGAATAACCATTGTGTGATGAGTAAAATAATCATCCATGAACAGATTTTAAAAATGGTTAAAGGGCAATATATACATGCACACATACATACATATATATATATATATATATATATATATATATATATATATAATAAAACCCAAAAGGAAAATTCTAGTATTGGTGATATAATAAACACAAGTTTTCAACTAACATTTTCCTTCCCAGTCTCAAAGCCTATTACCAAAGCCTATAATGAGTCCATCTGAGACATAATCAGTCATTTGAAATCTATTCAATTTTCTTCCTAGCCAGTTCTCAATCTTTTGTCTAGAAGAAATAGCTGGGAGGACAGATATTTTAATTCTCCAATTTCAAGTCATTTTGAAACTTCCCAGGATAGACGCTACAGGTAAATCATCATGACTTAATCGCTCTTTCCTTTCTCAATAGCTCTGTAAGTTTAACGACTCCCACTGCGGTTGTCCCATATTCAGTTGACGTCTGCACACTCTTTACCCCACCTATTTCTACTTTCCTGTACATCACTTATGATCCTTGCTATTATTTATTTAGTTTGTGGAAAAGTGCTACATAGTGACTTGGGATTGAAGAAAATTATTTAACATCTGTGCTTCATTTTTTACTTCCCCATCTGTAAAACTTGATGTCATAATATTTATCCAATCCTGCACAGGAGTGATATAAGAATTTACTCATGTTAGTAAGGAACATTTAGATGCAAGGCACAGCAGAAGTATAAAATGCTGCTATTATTTTTTGACAGTCCAGTCAAGCTCTATAAATCTGTGGTCAGGACCTGAGAACCATGTTATGGTCTGTAATGACTTGCAGGTGGGGCTCAGCCGGGAGAAAAGGAGCTCTCATGTCAGAGCCTTGTCACTCAGGGTGTGTAAATGTCACCTGACGCACTTTGTGGTGCAGCCTTTCAACTCCTTAACTGTGGAAATTAAGATTTTGCATTTTCCAACACCAAGAAGAATGAACTTTGGTGAGGGCATAAGCTTGATTTTAAAGAAAGATTTTCATTAGGTGGCTTTTGAGGTTTCAGATTCAATGATTTTCTTGTGTGGTGTCATGAGAAAAGAAAAGAACAAGCACATAGAAAGTGACTCTTTCAAAAGGCACACACACAGGGGCTTTGTAGCCAGCCGAGGACCATGGCTAAGATGTACAAATCTACAGGGAACGTGACAATCATATTAGCAGTCTTTAATATATGTTATATTAAAGAATAGTGCCCACTGGATTAAGTGAATAGAAAGGAAATCTTGTCCTGGCCAGATTTTATTTGTCTTTATTATACAATCTGAATTTTACATTTATTTTGTTTTGATTATTTTATACACAAGTAATGTGTTCACCTCATTTTTACTCATTTTTATTGATCAAACTGAGCATCATTCCTGTGTCCCTTTTTTCTTTTTTCTTAAATTTTATTTATATATTTATTTATTTATTTATTACAATTTATTCACTTTGTATCCAGGATTTAGCCCCATAAATCGACTCCTCCCAGTTCCACCCTCCCTCCCTCTTCTCCCCCTGTGTCCTGTCCCTCCTCCCCAGATAGGAGAGGTCTCCTTCCCCTTCTATCTGACCCTAGCCTGTGAGCTCTCATCAGGACTGGCTGCATCATCTTCTGTGGCTGCTCCTTTCAAGGAAGATTTTTCCAAAACAAGTACACAAGAGGTCATTATCAGGTGCATATGACAAGGAGTATTACATCATCAGTGTCATCATACTGACAGCCCTGATGACTTCAGGAATGAAGTTTTACTCACCATGTCCTCATTAAACAAACCCACTACATGGCCTGTATGACTTCCTTCTGCAACACATATAACCATCTTTTCTTTCTGGTCTTCCTTCAGAGAACCACAGAAGGTGCTGAAGATGGGATAGGACTGGTAAACCAAAAGTGAACTCTCTCACCATGGGAAAAAAATTAAAAGGAAAGCCTGCAGCTTGTGTACATCAAATATTTTTAATGGTGAAACTGCATAGGTGTCTACACTTCTTTTGAGCTTTAAAGGGCTATGACACAAAGTGTGACCTTCCATCTCTTTAGCCTTTGTTTTCTTCCACCTCCAATGCCCTGTTCAGCACATACACATCCTTTTTATATCTGCTGTTCCCCTATTCTTCAGTAATATTTTTCTTGTTCCTAAATTATTTGTGTCCAACTGTGTCTTTCTATGAAGAGAGGAAAAAATTGTCTGATATACTAACTCAGACAATCTTGACATCCTTAACTATCATTTTATCTTTAGTAACATCTTACTATCATTTTATCTCCAAAATGATGTCAAAATAAATATTTATTTAAAATATTGGTATTAATTTTAGGCATTGAGACAGTATTTCTTTTCAAATGGAAAACTGTGGGGAGAAAGCAAAATGGATATGAATAAGATGCATTGTATGCATGTATGAAATTTATAAAAACTCAAATAATAAAAAGTTAAATAGATGTTCTTAGTGAAATTTTAAAAGACACATTCACTGTACTGCATGAAGTTTGAACTATCAAAATGTAATGATCAAATCCATCAGAAAACATACACTGTAATGAAAGAAGAGCTCCAAAATGGTATTGTGGTGCCTTGGGGATGAATTAGGTACTATCTGGAAATATAACCCAAATGTGAAGACTGAACATTGAAAAATAAAACACGTGGAAACAAATGTTAGAAAGTGACTACTGAAGGCAGCTCAGGTGGTCTGAGTCTCCTTGAAGCAACTCAGGTGATCTCTGCTTCTTCGAGGTGACAAGTCTTGTCTGAGCCTCTTCTAGGCATGTCATCCTGTTTTAGGCTGCCTTTCAGCAGCGTTTTTTATAGCCTTTGTAGGTTTGAGAAGTAAAAGACCGAGTGAATCTCCTCTGTTTAAGGGCCTTCCTGAAGCTGTTGTTTATGTTCTGAGCTTGAAAAGTTTCCCTGCAGAGTGGAATATTTGCTTCCCTTTGGATCATCCCGTGCC